TTTCAACGCATGTCTAATTTTCTTTGAGAAATATGTCAAAGTTGTGAACAACGGTACATGAATAGAAGAAGTAGTTTCACTTAAAAATGAAGTAATTTCCGAAGAAGACATGTTTGAGCCCGCATAATCGAATCCATTCGTAATGGTGGGTTCTAGAACTACGACTATGAAAAAAGATTATATAATTTTTATCAACAAAATAGCCACAGATCATATTGATGTTGAAATTAATAAAAATAATAGAAAAAAAATATAATTTTTTTTTATAAACGAATACTTACTGTTGAAGCTTTGTTGTAAAAATCACTGATTAATTGCATCTGTCTAAATAATCATCGGTTAATCCCAATTAATCTTCAAAAACTGAGTCAACTTAGCGGCATGGAAAACAATAATGAAAATTAGCGTTGTATTCCCATTTTTTCATTTGAAGATACTCGTTTACATGATTAAAATTGTTATTATAAATAAATAGGGTCTTCTATTGAATGGTATCGTCCAATATCATTGAATGAACTTATTCATCTTCGTCATATTTATCCCGGTGATCAATCAAAACTTATTTTTGGTAATACAAGAGTAGAATTTGAAAGAAAATTTAACCATATGAAGTATCCTCGTCTTATATCAATTACACATATTAAAGAATTACAAGAACTAAAACGAACTAAAGATTTCTTATATTTTGGAGCTGGTGTTACATTTACACGTTTGAAATCGAAATTAATTCAATGGAATAATGATAATAGTATTTGTCAAGCTTTACTCGATCAAATGAAACATTTTGCATCAACACAAATACGAAATGTTGCTTCACTTGGTGGAAATATAATTTCTGCATCACCTATGTAAATTATATTGAATTAAAGATTTAAAAATCTTCTTGTTCTTTTTTGTTTTTACGTTCTAGTTCAGATATCAATCCTGTATTAGAAGCTGCGGGTGCTATACTTGAATTACATCGTGCTGATGATAATAAAGTACGAAAAATTCCATTATGTGATTTTTTTCTTGGTAATCATCGTGTTTCAATGGCAGACAATGAAATTCTTGTTGCTATTCATATTCCTCTTGAACGCTCATCAAATAAATGTTTTCTTCGTTCATATAAACAATCTCGTCGTCGAGATGATTCAAAAGGAATTGTTAGTGCTGCATTTAAAATTGAACTTGAAAAAATAAATTCATTTGATAATCAATGGAAAATTATTTCAGCTTGTTTTTCATTTGGTGGAATGGCATCAAAAACTATTTTAGCAATAAATACACAACAACAATTAATTGGATTATCATGGACAAAACAAACAATTAATATAGCATATGATTTACTTCTTAAAGAAATGCCACTTGATGAATTAAGTCCAGGTGGACAATATCAATATAGGTAAACACATAATTAGTTGATAACATAATTGATTTTGAATTTATTTAGACGAACATTAATTCAATCATTTCTTTTTAAATTTTATTCCTATGTATGTAAAGAATTACGTCAACCATCAATTGATTTAATTGATAATTATTATCATCGAGAAATATCTCATGGTCAACAAACAATACCTGAAAAACCTCAAACACAAAAAATTATTGGTAGTTCATTATCACATCGATCTGCTTATTTACATACCACGGGAGAAGCTATTTATATAGATGATATGCCATCTTATATTAATACACTTCATGCTGCACTTGTACTTAGTACAAAAGCTAATGCACGAATAAAACATATTGGTAAAAATCTTTCTCTTTTTTTTTCTTTTTATTATTTCAACAAAAATTTCATTGAAATTTTTCTAATAATAGATATTGAAGATGCTTCAAAAGTTGTAGGTTTTGTGTCGTTTGTTAGTTATATTGATGTACCAGGTTCAAATAAATTAAATGATGAATTATTCGATGAAGAATTATTTGTATCATCAATTGCACTTTGTATTGGTGCTATAATTGGTGTTGTTGTTTGTGAATCTGAACATGCAGCTAAAATAGCTGCAAATCTTATTAAAATTGATTATGATTTATTATCACCAAGAATTTTTTCAATTGAC